TAGATTTTCTATAAACATAAGCTCATATCATTTGTGAATAAAGCTTTAACTCTTTCTTTTCAACTTTAGTCTTTGATCAGTGTTTTCATCATGAACTGATTTTAGATATTGTCAAATGCTTTTTCAGCATCTATTGAGGAGATCATGTGATTTTTTCCTTCATTATTTTAATGTGATATATTACTTGGTATTATTTTGGTAATATTGATTAATTTTTGGATGTTAAACTAACCTTGCATTCCTGAGTTAACTACCATTTGGTCATACTGTGTAATCCTCTTCATATATTGATGACATTTTATTGGAGATTTCTTACATTTATATCCATGAGACTTATTGRTTTGTAGTTTTATTTTCTTCTGGTGTCTTTGGCTAGTTTTGAYAGACAAAGTGACCTTGTAGAATGAGTTGGAAAGTGTTCCCTCCTTTGCTATTGGAAGTATTTATATGAAGAATTAGTATTAATCTTCAAATGTTCTTYTTTTAGTGCATTTGCATTTAATTTATAGAATAATAGGTTTCAGTGTGGATTTTGTATCTGCAAATAACACACTTTAATCATATTTACCTTCTCTCACTTCCCCCAACCCTCCTTTTTATCACTATTCTTCTCCTTTCCAAGTCTTTAAGGTACTCTTATATCTTTTCCCCCTCTAGATTTCACAAATGAGGGAAACATGATACTTACCCTTTTGTGTCTGCCTCATTTTGCTTAACATTGTGATCTCCGATCCCATCCATTTCCTGCAAATGACACTACTTCGTTCTTGTTTATAGCTGAGATATATATATATATATATATCTCAGCTATAGAGAGTGAGGGATGGGGAGAGAGACTGAGTATACAAGTGTACTAGGTGTTGATGGCATCTAGACTGATTTCATAACTTGTTATTGGAATTGTATCACATTAAACATGGGTGAACTGATATGCTGAAATGAATTCCTTTGTGTATATATCAAGCTAGAGTATATGATAGTTCTCTCTTTTTTTTTAGTGACATCTGTACTAATTTCCAAAGTGACTATACATTCACACCAACAGTGTGCAAGTGTTTCTTTTCCCCTTTCATCCTCATCAGTATGTTTTTGTTTGTTTGTTTACTTGCTTGTTTGTTTTTGCATTCTCAGTGGATCTTTTATTTGCATTTTCCTGATGGCTAAAGATGTTGAACATTTTTTTTCACATAATTATTGGCCATTTGTGTTTCTTAAGTGTCTTCTTTTGAGAGTGCCTATTTATTGGTTGGGTTATTTGAGTTTTTTGTTTGTTTGTTTGTTTGTTTTGGTGTTATATTTTTTAGGTTGTGGATATAATTCTGGATATTAATTCTCTGTTCAAAGAGTAGCTTGCACAGATTTTCTGCCACTCTTTAGTTATCTCTTCCCTCTATTATTGGTTTCCTTTGCTCTGTAGGAGCTTTTTAATTTGATGCATACCCCTTTACACAGTCTTGCTATAATTTCCTGAACTATTGTAGTACTATTCAGGAAGTCATTGCCTATGCCTATGTCTCAATGTGTTTCTCCTATGTTTTCTTCTAGAAATTTCAAAGCTTGTGATCTTGTATTTAGTTCTTTGATCCATTTTGAGTCTATTCTTATAGAAGGTGAGGGAGAGAGGGTTCTAGTTTTATCTACAATGTGGATATCCAGTTTTCCCAGCATCACTTGTTAATGAAGCTATTTTTCTTCGACATATCTTTTGACATATTAATCAAGAATCAAATGGCTATAGCTGTGTGAGTTTGTCTCTGTATTCTCTATTTTATCCCATTGGTCTGTGTGTCTCTTATTATGCCAGTATCATGCTGATTTTGTTACTGTGGCTCTGTAGTATAGTTTGAAATCAAATATGTGATGCCTCCCACATTGTTTTGTTTGCTCAAGATTGTTTTGCCTCTTTGGGATCTATTTTGCTTTCATATGAATTTAGGATTTTTTTAATTTATAAGAAGAATGTTATTGGTATTTTGGTGAGGATTGCCTTGAATCTGTGGATTGCTTTTGGTAATGTGGCCATTTTGACAATAAGAATCTACTGATCCATGAACATGGGAAGGTTTCCATCTTCTAGTGTCTTCTTCAGTTTCTTTATTCAGTGTTATGTAATTTTCATTGTAGAAATCTTTCACCCTTTTGTTTAGGTTTATTTCTTGGAAGCTGTTGTGAATGAAATTGTTTTCCCTATATCTTTCTCAGTGAGTTCATAAATGGAGAATAAAAAGAGCTATTGATTTTTTTGTATGTTGATTTTGTATCCTGCTACTTTGCTAAATTTGTTTATCAGCTTTCAAAGTCTTCTGGAGGAACTTTTAGGGTCTTCTAAGTTTAGGATTATATGATCTGAAAATAGGGCTAATTTGACTTCTTTCCTGTTCAGCTCTCATTTGTTTCCTTCTCTTGCCAATTGYTCTGGCTAATATTTCAAGCACTATATTGAAGAGGAGTGGTGAAGGCAGACCTCTTTGTCTTGGTCCTGATTTTGGAGGAAATTCTTTCAGTTTTTTTCCCCATTTAGTATGATGTTGGCTATGGGTTTTTCCTATATAGATTTTAGTATGTTGACATAAGACCCTTCTATATCTGGTGCCTTCAGGGCTTTTGTCATGAAGGGATGTTGACTTTTGTTGATGGCTTTTCTGCATCTACTTAGATGAWTATGCAATTTTTACCTTGATTTTTTAAAATAATTTCCTTGGTAGTTTACACTTTGCTACTGTTACATTGCAGAGCCAATAAATGAAGGCAGAAGGTGGTGGTTATGCTAATTGTTTCCTCTAGGACAATTTCACTACAGTGACAGGMTAAGGTTCTAAAAAAAACACTATTGACTCTTCATTTTGTCCTCTTATACTAAACAATGATGGGTTCACCACTGGAAGATGTATTTAGTTGCAGAAAAAAATTGAAAGGCCTTTATATTTTGAATTTAGAATCATGGCTAAAGACGCCTTTCAGYGTTGTTTCTCCCAGGGGAGCAGTGGGTACAGATATGAGTCACTATTTCTCTGTATATACTCTTATCCATAACCTATTAGTACAGACTAGTCTAGAAACAATATTTAAAGAGCCTTCTCTTGAGAAAGAGAGTTTGAGAACAAGGAGACTTTGTCAAATCCCAGACATCAYATATGAGTAATAAATATTTAGATTGTCTTCCTACATGTTGCAAGGTGATTTTCAAATTCATTAATCATTCTATCAACTCAGTGAGAAAACTCTGTACTGAAGAAATAATAACAACTTACTAAGTAATCACTATGTTCCAAGAACTGTCTTAAATCCTTTGTGTATACTATCTTTTATTCCTCRTAGCAATATATGAGATTAATACTAATATTATTCACCACTTTATAGATGAGGGAAAACAAAGAAGTAATCCAAGTTGCTTGGATGCCATACAGGTAGAGAAAGCTGGAACCAAGATTTATGGTTTGGTGAYGCCAGAACTTGAACCAGGAGTTGGAATGGATGACACACAGTCTCMAGCAGGCATTCAGATTCAGGGTATCTCTATTCTGAATTCTGAGCTTATAAGTAATTTGTCTTTCTTTTGATGAATAATAAAGTTTGCAGGCAAAATTTAGGGAATATCCATAGAGGGTATATTCAGATGGTGTTAATGACTAGAGATTAGTCAGTCTCTGCAGGGATTTGTAATAAGCTAGTTAATAAAATAGATATTTAACATTTATTGAATTATTACTATGTTCCAGGGTAAGTTATTTACTTGCATAAATTTTCTGAAAAAAATAAARTAACTGAAAAATAAATTTACTTGTGTAAAATAGTCTGAAAATAACTCTATGAAATACCTACTACTATTATCACCTTTTGTTTTTAATAGAAGAAGCTCCTGCTACAAAMAAGTGGGTGATTTTCCCAAGGCCAGTTAGCATTCAATGGCATAGATCAGATTTGAATCCAGATAATTTTATTCCAGAGCTTCTGTTCTTAACCATTTTGCTATGCAATTTCTCTAAGTAAATAGATTCTTGAAATATGGTAAGAACAAAGCAGTCACATCAAGAAAGTGGTTAGATATAAAACAGGATTATTGTGTTTGTGTGTGGGGCTAGGAGTCACTCCTTTGGAAGAGAAGTTTCAGACTCTCATCCACAGAAAGAAACGTGATGTGGCTAGAGGAGGGGGCTCCCTTGAACATATGAAACAGCCTGAGACAAATATGTGAATAGGGGAAGAAAAGTTAGAAGGCTTTTATCTTCTTTTCAACAGAACATRGGAACAGACTAAAACATTGTGCTATGCATGTAGAAGCTGGGCTGTGGTCTTGGTATGAGAGGAACTGTGTTCTGAGAGGGTCTGAAGCTGTATCCCAGCTGTAAAAAGGGACAGTTTGAATATGCAGTTTTAGAAAATTAGTTTGACAAACTTCATTGGCAGATACAGAGGTTGAATTGACAGTACATTAACAGATTCCAGTGGAAGTATTTTGAGTGGCATCCAGACCTAGGTTCATTCAGCCTTTTCCTCATAGGAACACAAATATTTCCCCACATATTTTTCTACAGTTTTCCTGTGCAGTGTTCTACCACCAAACACAGGGTTTTATATTTGAACCTTCCCCTGGAAAGGAAGAGCCCCAGTGCCAGTCAGTGATACAGGGCTGACAGTGTTCTTCCAAGCATGGGAATCTTCTGGTTTATACCCTTGATGGACCTCAGAGCTCCCTTATTCCCTTGTTCACATGTATTCTCCTCTTGATCATGAAAGCACTGTTAATGTCCTTGAGAGCCTATGGCAATTTGCAACTTTTGATCATCCAAYTTATCAAAACTAATTCCATATAATGTTTTTAGTGAGATGATTATGAAATTGAAATGTTAAAGCTATTTTTAAATGAAAAGTAAAAATTTTACTCTCACATCAAAAACAAACCAATACTGCCTACTGTTCCTACTCTCCATATGAGAGTCAAAGGTTGATATGCAGGTCCATTTTCACTTTCAAGGTAACCTGTGGCTTCTCTTCCCAAGTCCTCACACAGGAATGCAGGAATACCAGGATGATGTGCCTAAGATCCCAACAGCCTGTATTACTGTGGAAGATGCAGAAATGATGTCTAGAATGGCTTCTCATGGGAACAAAATTGTCATTCATCTGAGGATGGGAGCAAAGACCTACCCAGATACTGATTCCTTCAACACTRTAGCAGAGATCACGGGGAGCAAGTATCCAGAGCAGGTATGTGAAGGAACGGGATTGGGTTGTCTGGGAATAGGGTGTTCTGGTCAAGTTTGCACTTTTAGAGATTATCTAGGAGAGAGAGACCGTGTTTGTGGAAATGGTCCTCATAGACTCATTAAAGGCTGAAAATCTCTATCTATCTATCTATCTATCTATCTATCTATCTAATCTAGCTATCCATCTACCTATCTATATTCCCATTAAAAATTTTGTTACATTGGAGAAGGACAGGACAAATTGAAAGAATGAGATCCATACTGTATAATTCAACCTCTGAACCACTCAGAGTGGGATTTGTATATATGTGTTATATTTATTCCATTTTAGGCCAGATAGGCCCTTGAGATCATATCAATAATTAATACTTATTATGTTCATTCTGTGAATTATCTTGTTTAATCTTTCAAAGCTCAATTAAATAGAATGTATTTTATTCATTTTATAGGCAAGGAAACTTATCTAGAGAAAAACTCACTGGCCTAGATCCACACAGGTAGTAAGTGGCTGAGAAAAAACTCAAATCCAGGACATTGTACGTATGAAAACAGAGTTTAGCCCATAGTTTATGTATGATTTCCAGTCTTTATTTTTTAAAGTAGTCTTAGAGGTATATCTAATCTCTATACTAACTGAATACTAAATACCTTACTTAGGCAAGGTGCAAGTCTCTGAGTTTTAGAGAATTTATCTGTAAAAATCAAATAGGTGTATGGAACTAACAGGATTACTATGAAGACTAGAAAGATAGAGTACATCAGAAAGGCTAGTYCAGTGTTTGTGCCTCACAGGGGCTCACTGAATTTGAGTTTACTTCATGTGACATCAAATGTGCATAAAACAGTTTTCACAAGTTATCTGGTTCAAAAATCTTCTTTAGTAGTAACTGAAGTTCTATAAATAGAACTAAAAAAGTTATTYGGAGGATTTTTGCTTCTATTTTGATGGTGAAGAAAGAGTTAACGCTGGTGTTTGGTGATGGAGGAGCTGGCCTTCTCCACAGGTCTGGATGGAGCATTGCTGTGTTGCAGTAGAGATTATCTTTCTGTTTAACCCATTTCGTCCCTTCTCAAGTCACCTGCTTCTAGGACCTAGGGTTCTTCAACCATGGGGATAARACCACAGGGATGACGGAAAAGCAGATTTTAGTTGGCCATAGGGAGTCAAATAGCTGTAAGAAACTATAGTTTCAGCTGGGTGCAGTGTGCACACCTGTATCCCAGCTGCTCTAGAGGCTGAGACAGGAGGATCACTAGTTCAAAGCCAGCCTCAGYAAAAGTGAGGTGCTAAGCAACTCAGTGAGACCTTGTCTCTAAATAAAATACAAAATAGGGCTGGGATGTGGCTCAGTGGTTGAGTGCCCCTGAGTTCAATCCCTGGTACCCACCCCCCACAAAAACTATGGTCTCAAATGTTGAGAAGGAACAGGCTGAGCTTCTTGTCCCTTCAGGAAACTAGTAACAGCAGAAGAACTGGGAGACTATTCCAGGTACAGAACAGTTAGACTCAAAGTTTAATCCTTACCATATCCCCCAACTCTGGTTAATAGCTCCAACATAAAGTTTTGCCCTCTTTAGATTAGGGGTTTAGGATTATTTATCATTAGCTGTCTGGGTGAGTGAGCTGATTCTGTCCCCAAAGATGAGTGGTAGGTGGGTAGCAGGGTCAGTGTAAGTTATTGGGACCTTCAGACTAGAGCAGTCAGGGGTGTCAGGGTTTGAGGCTAAAGCATTTAGGCAAAGGAGTTCTTGAGAGCCATATGCAGTGGTAGTGTTGGCTCTGACGGTGTCCTGAATGCCACTAACATCTTCCAGCTGGGATGACTTGAACCTRTTCCTCAACCCAGCTCAATTTGCTCTTTTTAGTTTTTAAGACCAGTTTTATATATAAGTGAAACCATATATTTGATATCTGACTTCTTTCACTCAGCATAATGCTTTTGAGATTTATCCCTACTATTCTGTCTGTTGTTTCTTTCTGTAAATTGATGAGTAATATTTCATTGTATGGTTGTACTGCAAATCGTTTTTTTCATTCTGCAATTGGTACACATGTGGTGGTGTTTAGTTTATGACTCTTCTGAGTAAAATGTCTGTGAATATTCTTTTTTATGTTTTTGTTAATGCATATGTAATAGTGGAGTGTGGTTCGGCATAATCATACATGCATGGAATATAATTTGCTTCATTTAAATCCCCAGTACATCCTCTTTCCCTCCCATTCTCTTCCTCCTTTTCTCTTTTCTCTACTGCTTTTCYTTCTATTTGTTTATTGTGTTTAAATTGATGCTTTGTAGATATGCATAAAGGTAGAATTCGCTGTGATCTATTCATGTATGTACACATAGCATAATTTGATCAATTTCATTCCACAGCTCCTCCCTTTTTGCATCTCGCAGCCTTCACCCTCAATCCTTTTCCTCTACTCTATTGATCTCCCTTCTATATTTAGGCCCCACCCCCACCCTGCCGTGTGCCTTATTTTGCTCTGTCTTCCACATGTGAGAGTATTCAACCCTTGACTTTTTGAATTGGGCTTATTTCACTTAGCATGATTTCTGCAGTTCCATTCATTTATCAGCAAATGACATAATTTCATCCTTCTTTAAGTCTGAATGAAATTCCATTGTGCATATAAACCACATTTTCTTAATCCATTAATCTGTTGACCAGCACCTGGACTGTTTTCATAACTTGGCTATTGTAAATTGCACTGCTATAAACATTGATGTGCATGTAGCACTGTAGTATACCGATTCTAGTTCTTCTGGATAGATACCAGAGTGGGATAGCTGGRTCACATGGCAGTTCCATGCCTAGCCTTTTGAAGTATCTCYACACTGCATTGCAAAGTGTGGAATTTGCAGTCCCACCATCAATGTATGAATGTACCCCCCCATATCCTTGCCAGTATTTACTGTTTGTATTCTTGATGATTGCCATTCTAAAGAGAGAGATGAAATCAATTCTATTTCATTTCATCAGTCTTTATATCTGTTTTGGTGCCAATACCATGCTATTTTTGTTACTATGGCTCTATAGTATAATTTGAGATCAGGTGTCGGGATGTCGCCAGCATTGTTCTTCTTGCTCAGCATCGTTTTGGTTATTCTGGGTCTTTCATTCTTCCATGTGAATTTTGGGATTTTTTCTAGGTTTGTRAAGAATGTCATTACTATTTTGATGGCAGTTTCATTGAATCTGTATATTGCTTTTGATAAAATRGTCATTTTGATACTATTAATTCTGCCTAGATCTAAGAACATGGGAGGTACTTCTATCCAAGGTCTTTGATGTCTTYCTTCAATGATCTGTAGTTTTCATTGTAGAGTTTCTCTATAGAGGTCTTTCACCTCCTGGGTTAGATTTAGTCCAAGTATTTTATTTTATTGAGGCTATTGTCAATGGGATAGTTTTCCTGAGTTCTTTTTAGCATGTTCATTATTGAAATATTCTTGTTCAAGTCTTTCTGTAGACTTTCACTTTTATTTCTCTTGGGTAAATTCCTAGGAGTAGAGTTGCTGGGTTAATCTAAATTTTAAGACTCTGGTCTCTGTCAAGAGCTTCACTCTGTATTCTTTAGGAGTAGCACCTTCTCCCGGTGGGTAGATGAATGATTTCAGAGTGATCTCAGGACTCAGGATTAAATTTTCAACTCTATAATTATGTTCACTAGCATCCTAAGAATTGGTCATAATACTTTGTTCCCAAGATATAAAAGGTATACTATCAAAAGTTCTCCCACAGGACTGGGGATGTGGCTCAAGCGGTAGCGCGCTCGCCTGGCATGTGCGGGGCACTGGGTTCGATTCTCAGCACCACATAAAAATAAAATAAAGATGTTGTGTTCATTGAAAAACTAAAAAACTCTATCTCTCTCTCTCTCTCTCTCTCTCTCAAAAAAAAAAAAAAAGTTCTCCTACAGGAAAAAAAAACCACATTTAAACATTGCTGGTGGGACTGCAAATTGGTGCAGCCAATTTTCAAAGCAGTATGGAGATTCCTTGGAAAACTGGGGATGGAACCACCATTTGACCCAGTTATCCCACTCCTTGGTTTATACCCAGAGGACTTTAAAACAGCATACTACAGGGATACAGTCACATCATTGTTTATAGCAGCACAATTCACAATAGCTAAATTGTGGTACCAACCCAGATCCCCTTCAGTAGATCAATGGATAGGTAAACTTTGGTTTATATACACAATGGAACATTACTCAGCATTAAAAGACAAAAAAATCGGCATTAGCAGGTAAATGGATGGAGTTGGAGAATATAATGCTAATTGAAGTTAGCCAATCCCCCAAAACCAAAGGCTGAATCTTTTCTTTAATATGAGGATGCTGACTCAAAATGGTGATAGTGGGCAGGGGAGCATGGGAAGAATGGAGGAACTTTAGATAGGGCAAAGGGGAGGGAGGAGAAAGGAGGGGGCAAGGGGATAGGAATGATGGTGGAATGAGTTAGACATCATTACCCCAAGTACATGTATGAAGACATGAATAGTGTGAAAATAGTTTGTGTACAACCAGTGACTTGAAAAATTGTGCTTTATATGTGCAATATGAAATGAAATGCATTCTGCCATCATGTATAACAAATTAGAATAAATAAATAATTTAATWAAAAAGTTTTCTCACAAAGAAGCCATAACATTATTTCCACAGGAGGAATATAAATGAGTATAGTGAAGTTCAGACTGTGTGGCTGTATTTTGGGGAAAATCTGTCCTATAGCTGATACATAGACTGTGAAGGCAAGTGACAAGCATATCATCCCCCCACTTCAAATGTTAGGTTGGGTTAATGGACTTGAATAAGCACCATCTATCTCATCCCTTGTTAGTGCCACTTCTTCCAGGAAGCCTCCTCTGGTAACTCTCTCCTCACCGCAACACTTTTAAGTCCCTGTTATAGTGTTATTTCCCACTAAAGCTTGCAAATGCTCTGGGAACTGACACTATGTTCATTTATTTTTTTTCTTTTTCTCTAATGCCTAC